CCATTTACGTTTGTTGAGATTATAGGTATATTTTATCTTATGTTATGCTTTCAGCTTTTAGTGTTCTTTTTTTAAACTTTTTAATTAGGATGTATTTCTTTTTTAGTTTTTGTTTTTTGTTTAATTTTTGAGTGATCTCCACCCAACATGGGGCTGGAATGCATGGCCCTGAGATCAAGAGTTGCACACTCTATACTGATGGAGCCAGCCAAGGCACCTCTATTTTTTTTTTCTTTGCTCATTGTTTTATGTATGTACTTTTCACTTCTTCTAGGAACACTTTATTATTACTGATTCCCCATTGTAAACAATGACAACATCTCTTCCCTCTCTGGCTCCCACCAGATTTTAGTTGTTTAAATAGCTTTCCTTCTACTATTTACCTTCCAATCTTTAAAAATACTTAAACCCCTGTTATTTTACTTACTTACTTGTTTTAAATGCTACTTTCTCCATCTCTTAGTTGGCTAAAATCTGTCCTCTAGCACATTGTCTTTCAGACTTTGGGCTGTGATCCATTCATGGGGCTGTGAAATCTATTTAGTCAGTCGTGACCAGCGTGTCTTAAGATAGGAGACACAAGAGAATGGAATGGGAAAAAAAAGAACAGTGTATCTTTCATAGTAATAGTAAATATTTCTTGGAAGTCCTTTCAATAGAGATGTCGATCTCTACGGAGTTTCAGTGTAATATGAAAAGTACTTACTATTGTGGGTGACAGTAAAAATAAAAGGTTGGAAAACAGGGCTCTGTACCATCTTAAAGGAGGGTTCATTGGAGTTAGAATCCCTGACTTTACCACATGTATGAAGGATTTGCTGCATCTCTAATTTTAATGTTCTGGTTATAAAATTCTTGGGTCACACTTTCTTTCACTTAGTATGCTGTAAACTTTGCCCTGACATTGTTTATTCATATGGAGAAGTCCAAGGCCAAGTTAGAAGTAACTCGATCTTCTTTCCTGGATGCCTGAAGGACTCTTTCTTTATTTTGAAGGCACTTAGTTTTTCCTAGGGTATTCTGTACTCTTCTGGTCCCTAGCTTTAAGTCTTTTATTTCTGGAGGTTACCTGAACTATAGCTTTGAAGTTTTTTGTTTTTGTTTTTGGTTGGTTGGTTGGTTTTTGATTGGAGTCTCCTCTTTTCAAATATCTGTCATGTATCTGTTATCTGTCCTTCGTGTTATAAAGCTGTTTTCTCCTTGATCCTTTTAATTCTTTATAAATTTCTAATTATGCTTGTTTTCTCAATCCTGGCCTCCATATCTCATCCTGTTTTTTCCAGCAGTGGCTAAGTCACTTTGTGCTGCATCCATACACCTGTCATTTCCGTGATGCTTTCGTAGTCTCCTTCACTTCACTTTTGGCCCCAGTCAACTCCTGGTTCCTCATTTTGTGTCGCTGTGCCATATTTCCAAACTCACGGATTTCTGTTGTCCACAGGTTGATTGTTCTACATTTTCTTTGAATGTATTGCATTATATATTTTTTATAATATTCATCTCTTTGGTGAGTATTTTTTTGCCATATGTTTATCTTGTTCCTTTTCCTCACTTTTTTTGGTGTATTTTACAGATTGTGTACTACTTTATTGTTGTTGTTGTTGTTATTCCTACTACTCACCTCTGAATTGAGTTTTTCCTGGACCATATGTTTAGGGTAGCGGTGGCTTGGGCATTATTTCAGGCTAAAGGGAATTCTCTCCTTAACATAGAAGCTCCTTATGACCCAGATAGAGAATGTGTGTGTGTGTGTGTGTGTGTGTGTGTGTGTGTGTGTAAGCAAGAGAGAGAAATTGAAAATGCATGTTCATTTAGACTGTCATCCTCCCTAGCCTGCAGAGATGGGCGGTTACTTGCATTTCAGTTTTTCTCTTCTCCGAGGGCCTCCTCAATGTGTGTGTGCTTCAGGCAGAGATGGTGATTCTGGTCAGTTCCTCATTGACACGCCTTAGAATCTGCCAGTTAGTTGGACACCTGTACTCTCCCCTGATTGCTGAGATCTCCCATAGCTATCTCTGCTCTGGCTTACTCCAGCCCCAATGGATCCAGTTGCATATGGCAGCCCATGTGGATAGCTTGCCATTTGGGATTTCCGAGGACTCCAGATCTTATTGCCGATGGGCTTCTTTTGCATCTCGCAGCACCCTTGCTGCCTGGGGTGATTTCTGAGAGGATAAGGGGAGGGGAAGTCCATTTCCATTATCGTAAAAGCAGAGGTCTTCTTGGACTCTCTAGTACTCTTTAACCTTGCCGACACACCTGCCATTGTGTACACCAGAGTCAGACCTGCTATAGAGATGAGTTGGAGAGTTCCTGGAACGGAGCTAGGCCCATGCAGTGTAGTGAGAATGATCGGACAGGGTCTGGAGCCAGAATTCAACATATTGAACCAATGCCTTCTGAAGGCAATGTCAATAAAAGCTCCGTTCCTGGCCTTCATCCACGCATGGGCAGCTTTAATAAAAGCTCTGTTGCTTTTAGTGAGATTTGATTCTGTGATGGTTGCTTTATTGACATGCTAGAGTCACATACTCAGCTTGGTTTCAGCCTACATGAGAGGGACTGTAATGAACCAAACCCAAGAGAAGGAGAGGGAAAGGGACAAGAAACCCAATACTCACTGGTCTTACCGTCCTCTTGTCCTGATCTCGAACTTTTATGGCATCGTTTCCTTGGTTCTTCACAACTGTTTTGAGCTGGCATTACTATTGTCCCTTTTGACAAATGGAGAAACTGAGGCAGAAGAAACTACGTAATGGGGCAGCCAGCAGTCAGTGAGCGGCAGCTCTGCAACTTGGGTCCTCTTTTCCTGCGTCCCCGGTGACCATGTTCCCTGAATTGGTGGTGTCTCAGCTCCAGCCTGGGCGTTCTGTAAAGATAAAGTCAGAAGAGCCCCAGCGGGGCCTCCCCGCTGTTTAGTTTTCCTCACTCAAGTGGGGTGATGCTGCTCCTTTCCACGGGCCAGGGGGCCCCTTCTCAGAGCAGCCTCATAATCACACCCGCCACTTGCCGGGGCATGTCTTTCATCCGCAGTTTGTAGCCGGTCATTAGTCCCCGTGAGGTAAGTCACTGTCTCACTTTGCAGGTGAGGAAGCCCGGACGGAGAGGGGTTGAGCAATTTTTTTCCAGGGTCAGCAGTGAGGCCCGGGGAAAGAGAGTGGCCGTGGGCCTCCCCATCCTGGGCTCAGCCTGCCGCCCGGGCACCCTTCACCCAGCTGCCTTCATTCATAACCCGCGGCGGGCAGAGGATGTTTCCCTCTCACTTCTCGTATTGGAGTGTATTCCCAAACACGCCAACACAGGAGGAAATGAAGGGTCCATTCAGGGATTTAATAACACACGGAAGCTCGCTTTCAGTATTTAGTTTCAAGTTTTTCAGACCACGAAGCTAAGACCATTTCAATGAAGCATTGATAATAAGGACATTTTCTCTGTAAAAAATTACATTGAGCGGGTCATGGGGAAAGACATCGATCGGCTTATTCGGGAGAGGACTATCAAACAGTAGAAAATAAAGATGTATTTTTATCTTATTGGCTGATTGTAGTTTCAACAAGAAGTAGCTATTTTTGAGGACATAAATATATAACCATACAAAATATGGCCAGCTTTAAATTTACAAAAAAAATAATTTAAAAATTACCCCCCCAAAGGTATTGTTTTTAAATACTTGCATTATAATGGAAAAAGCCTCAGATGTCACCCAGTGCGGTCCAAACATTCTTGGAGAAGTCCTTATTTTTCTCCTTAAGTGACATTTTAATATATAATATTTCAAATGTAATGTTATTTTTGGAGTAGCAAGTATGCAAGCGACAAGAGAAAAAGTACACTTAATCTGCAGGTAGATGTCCCAGCAATTTTCTTTTTTGTATGTGCAGCCCATTATCCCCCATGATAACTTTGTTGACAGCACCCACAAATATATTCGGAGCCAGGTTTTGTAAGATAGATCCAGAATCGTATGACTAAGAGACCCAGCTCATGACACGTGTCAACCTTCAGATAGATGGTACATTTTCTGTTTTAAAGGCTCAAACAAAACTTTTCACATTCTTCTTTGGGGGAAAAAAAATTACATTTGAAGTCCTTTTTCACCCAAACACATTTTGAGATAAGAGCTCACAAGTCTTGACATTATTTCATTTTGTTATGCGCATCTGTCAAGGAACTGAGATAGGATACAGCTACTAAAAACCGATGATTGTGGAACAGAGAAACTTGACAGCATTTCATTCCCTTTATGTTCTGATTATACATTTATCAGAAAACCTGTATCTCTTCTAGTTCAGCTAGAAATTGGTAGAATTCAAGAACTCAAAGGCTTGGCAAAGAACTGTCCTATTATTTGGTATCATCTTACATTTTAGAGAAGTTGCTTGGTTGAGTCATTGTTAAAGCTTTTGCTTCTCTTTTCATTATTGTGGCCCACTATCCACAGATCCCATTTATATAGGCCCTGTAACTGCTTTGCCGCACAAATTAAACGCTGGGATATTTCATACGTATACGCCAGCGTTTCAATGCTTGTCCATCAGAGTTTATAAAATATAGGGATTACAACCTGATATTAACATCCAAATCTATTGTGCTCATTTTATGTGTGAAAATGAGAAACCCTCGTACAGACGCTAGAATCCCCGGCCTCTTTGTCACCCTGTTTTTAATTTATCTCCAGGTTTTGAGTCAGTAAAATGATTTTGCTTTATCAATTTAATGTAGTGATAAAACATATCTGTGAATCAGAATGATCAGAAGCAAAGTGCAGCTACAGGTTGTTTGGCATTAAGCCCAGCCCCGCTGAGGGGTGTAATAGGGCTGCTTCCTTCACAGAAGGGAACACCCCCGTTGTTTTAATCATACCTCCACTAGCAATGTGCTGCCCTTCACATGAAGACATGGACGTAGACATGCATCGCCTGGGCGAGGTGGACTTGAAAACTTTTAAATATGTTCTTTTTATACCTCTTTTTCTTCTTCTTTTTTTTTTTTTTTAACAGATATACTTCAAAAGGAATTATCCAGATATTACTCACAGTGACCATGTGGTTATGAATGCTTCCAACGGACAGCCCTCAGCCTTTACTATTTTTGAGACAGCGCTGTGATCCTACCACAACATCAAGTCTATTCCAAAGACATTTTTCTAAAATAGTTTTTGTACTGTGTAACTATATATTGTACTTTTTTTTTACACTAGCACAAAATATTTTACACATACAAGATGTTTGGATTTTTTCCTCCAACTTCACTCAGTGATTTCAAGCTCTAGCCGAATGATGTAATATTTTTTATTTATATGTTATAGTATTTTGTTTTCCTTATCCAAATCCCAGGTGCAGGACACCAGTAAAAGCTGTTAACCAGGTTTGGTGCCTTAAAGAGATGTCAGAGCCAAACCTCATTTTGTTAGGTTTAAGACAAAGTTGTCACAGACCTTTTTTTTTTTCTTTTTTTTTTTTACAGCCCTCACAAATTACATATTACTTTCCAGTGATATCAGGGATTCTGTTTACTTGAAGTGTGTGAAGTTGCCATTTTGTCTGGCCACTTCCTTAACATAACGAGGATCCATTATTTCTTCCCAAAGACCTCTGGTTGAAATCGTACAGATACAACTAATAGGAAAAACCAAAAATACACTTTAAGTGACATTATAGTGACCAAAAAAAGGATATATGCTTAGCATACAGGAGGGCAGTATTTAATTACATGTTCTGAAAGACAAGGAAGACAAAATAATGCTTTCTCAACACTGGAGCCCGCGTGGGTGATTTGATCATGAAGGGCACAGGTGTGATCATCGGTCATCTAGATGTGCACAACTCCAGCATGAGGACCATCGCAGTCTGAGGCCTCAGCATGGTGACATTTTCAGAAAAGGCCCAGCCACTTAATTCCGGACCATGGAGCAGTAGTCTTACTTGGATTTCTGTTCTGCCAGCTAACCAGCTGTTGACTGTAATAAGCCTTTTTGGTTTAGCCTTTCTTGAAACCCCTTCTACACTGCACGTGTAGGTTCTCCTGACTTGGTGAGAAAAACCAAAGCTCTTTGCCAACAATGGCGCACCCAGGGGGCTCCCTTTTATGAACCTGCCCAGGTTATTTTCCTTCTGACCACTAATAGCACTTTGTTTGGGTCTTTCTGATGAGTGAATCAGCAAACCAGTGTACTCCCAAGGCCTGCTGCGCTTTATTTGAACCGTGGGTCTTTAGTTTTTCTGGATGGTGGCTATGGTATGTTAGTTCAAATTGCTAAAGGTTTTTAGGTTGTGGTTTTAAGTGGACTCTCGTGACCTCTAGGATAAGGTGTAAGCACCCTCAAGTTGTGCATATATTAATCGATAATGCCCTCATACAGCAGATTTTTGGACTCTTCAAAGAGAGACGTTTTATAGCATCAAGCCTTAAAAAGCACATACAGCAAACTACACAAGACACATTGAGTGTAGTCACAGTTTGACTCTTCATATTTAGAAATAATATGGTGAATGTTTAGTTCAGTAAGCCAGTAAGTTGTTCTGTAGTCATGGATAGTATTTCAGGAGACTAAAATGACAATGATGATAATGAGGTTTGTTAAAACAGTGGGAATACTGGACAAGTGTCTGTGTTTATTTGGTCTTTAGAGGTTAAAGGCAGTTTAAAAAAAAAGCATGTTTCTATTTTATTTCTATTTTAATGTCATAGCATTTTTTCTTTAATGAAACAAAATTCATTTGAAATAAATGACAGTTTTCACCTCCATTCCGAGGTCTGTGTTTTGTTCTGAGAGGGATGACTGACTCATGTCCTTGCTGTTGAAAGCCAACGAGTTTTCCAGAGATCAGAAAATATCTTCATTGTCAACTGGTTCTCTTGGCTAACTAGATGTACCAAATATTCTAAGTAGCTAGGTGGGTTTCAGACAGGTTGAAACAGCTGCTATTGAAGCCAGCCTGGTTGCTCCCCTTCCAGGAAGGGAGAGCGTAGTAGCTTATGCCCTAGGCTTGAACAAGTATCAAGTTGTTGAGGTTTTTTTTTTTTTTTTGAAAGGCGACTTTGCCCTGAACTAACAGGGAACGTTTATTGTTTCTCCACTGAAACACTGTAGAACGTTGGTTCTCAAAGTGGGGTCCCGGGACTGGCAGCATCAGCCTCACCTGGGAACTTTTTGGAAATGCAAATTCTTGTGTCTTTTCCCAGATCTACTGAATCAGAAACTGGTGGTGTGGACCGGTAATCTGTGTCTTAATAAGCCCTTAGGGTGATTCTGATGCAGGCTAACGTCGGAGACCCAGTACCATAGAACATAAAGAACTAAGAGCTCATTAAGAAAAACACAGAAAGCCCAGTTAGAGAAATGGACTAGAGACTTGAATAGGCACCTCACAAAAGAGAATATCCAAGCGACCAATAACTGGAAAAGTGCTCACTCTTATTAGTTACCAGGAAAATACGATGAGATAGCACTGAACGCCCACTAGCATGGCTAAAATTAAAAAGAATACCCATCAAGTGCCGCCGGAGCAATGGGAACTCTCCCGCAATACCGTGTGTCTAAAAAAAGGATGTATCAAATAAACAGCTTTGGAAAACACTGACGGCATTTACTCAAGCTGCACACCTTGTGATCTGTTAATTTTTTTTTTTAATTTTTTAATTTTTTTATTTATTTTTTTT